CCATCCATCCACTCACACACCCATCCATCCACTCACACACCCATCCATCCACTCACACACCCATCCATCCACTCACACACCCATCCACTCATCCACCCATCCATCCATCCATCCATCCATCCACCCACATATCCATCCATCCACCCATCCGTTCATCCATCCTTATATCCATCCTTATATCCATCCATTCATCCATCCTTATATCCATCCATCCATCCATCTACCCATCCATTCATCCATCCTTCCACCCATCCATCCACCTTTCCATCCATCCATCCATCCATCCATCCATCCATCCATCCATCCATCCATCCATCCACCTACCTATAGCAACGATGCAGCCGTATCCAGTGTATGTAGGAAACAGTTCACGAGAGTTGCAACATTCCGTCACCTCTGCCACACTCAGGTTTTGAACCCGTGTCTTAGTCTTTATGGCCAGCAGGCTCTCCACTCCCTCTGTCAACATACAGAGTATAATATATTTATACGTGTTTCTTTTTGGGTCCTAGATTAAAAACCGCTCATTGGATGAATACACAGGATCATTAAAATACATGACTTACAGTAACCTTGCCTACAAATTGTTCATTTTGAGACAGCGACACCACCCTGCCCCCACATTTCAGTGTAAGCTTGTAGATTTCATCCCCCAGCTGTCTAGACGTCTCCACGTGCTCCACGCGAGTCTCGAAAAATACTCACCCCGTCTCTTGAATCGTGTTTCTTTGGCGAACATTAAAGTGTGGTGTTGAGGAAAATACGTCAACTTTTAAATGTTGTAGGTGTGTGCTGTAAATCCCCTTTTATAATTGACCCGCTTTCGGCTTACATCAAAGAAAACGCGTCGGAACCTTAGTTTGCAGTGTCCTTTATGAATCAGCTTTTAGATTCTGTTGATCCTCCAACTTTGAGACCTGTATGCAACGATTGGAGAAGATTAGACGGAGAGATTTGATATAATCTTGATTTAACCGCGGTCAGAGGAATGTGAACAAGCTATAGATCTAGCAAGTTTGACTGTCAGAGAAAAGTGAACAAGCTATAGATCTAGCAAGTTTGACTGTCAGAGGAATGTGAACACGCTATAGATCTAGCAAGTTTGACTGTCAGAGGAATGTGAACAAGCTATAGATCTAGCAAGTTTGACTGACTTGTTGCTATTGGCACAACACCCGTTACGTCAATTTCTAATCAGATTTCTGTGTGGAGTTGGTTGAGAAAACTGTGATCTAAGGCATTCAAAATTCATACACGTAAAGTTTTCCAGGGTTTCAAAACTTGGAAGTCACCAAACTTTGGAGGCCATTTTTTACCCCCTAATTTATCCCCCCCCCCCCCAAACCAGGCTTCCCCAGAAATCAGACAAATGAATTAGCGTTAAGATAATAGGGCCTACCATGTTTTTCATATTATGCCCTCAATTTGACGAGCGCCCGATTACACCGCGTTGTGACGCACAGGGCCTAATGTATGCCTCCGCCCAAGTGTCCCAGGGACCACCTGACTGTGTCTCTCCCCAACTGTGTCGTAACGCGGTGGAATCAGGCGCTCGTCAACTTTTGGCCCTGTGCAGTTACTGTTATGATCTCAAAGCTTTTCTTTTGTCTAGCTTTTAATGGAAAATCTTATGCATCTATCGGTTTCAGGGATAACATTATAGTGTGGTCCATAATTCGTGGCACAACTTATTGTCAAATAAGATTTCCTAAACTATCGAAAATAGACTCTCCAGCTTTTGCACAAATACTTGTATTAATTAAAATGTGTCTTAACAGATCAACATTTTTGGAAACATCTGTTAGCTGTATTTTAGAGAATTCCTTAATAAATACTTATGAAAAAATCCAAGTGGGTGGTTTCTGCATAGTAAGAGTTTTACAGCTGGGACAATATCGCTTTTAAAAGCATGTCCGTCACTTTTTTTTCTATTAGTGACACTATCTTTATTGAACGCATGTTTGGAGAACCTTTAGTGCGAAAAAGTCTTCACTATAAAATCAATTTCTTGTAACAAGTTTTGCCACTAAAACTTGTCATTGGTGAGCTGTGACGTAGGCCATATGCGTATACAAAATGTGTGTGAGAAGCGGGAAGTGCTGTGAACAATCCCATTTTCCGCGTGATAAATTTTTGAAGAACTGTTTTTAAATCTAGCCTCAATTGAGGTCGAAAATATGATTAAGTCGAAACAAATAGACGATACAAACGGCAAAGCAAATTATGAGTAACATCGATTCTTCCACTGAAGAGATTTGAGGATAAGTTGCGCCACAAAAGTATTGTTGACCGCACAACAGTGAGAAAATGGTGCACTGAGTTCATTGACTTTCCAAGCTTAAGTGTTCGTGGAAACTGCAAGTGTGCATTTTCTAGGCCTTTTGTCGACCTAGTGCAATCAAATCCACTCAGAAATGTGCTTTAAATGGACAAGTTAACCTAAACATGGGGTGGGGGGGGTGGGTTTTTTTTGTTTTTTGCTTTTTGTAAGTTGATAAAAAACAACTTCCTAACTAATGGGAAAATCCCGGTTTCTTGGATGTTATTAATTTTGACAAGCGCCTGATTTGGCCACGAGGTCACGTGACAGCCATACTCTGGCACTTTTAACCGCTACCTTCATGTCACAGAATTTGGTGTTTCCTTCTTTGACATTCTCAGCTGTTACAACAAAACTTGGACCACCGTCCAAAGCCTGTGCCAAAGTCCGTCTTACAAAGATTACAGCGCAGTTTAACCCTATCCGTACCCCCTGGGGTCATTTTGTACCTCTGGGGTTGTATTCTTCACATTTTAGAATACTTCTAGTGCGAAGATCTCTTTGGAACTTTCAGTATTTTTCCAAAAAATCATTTTGACAGACTGCTACGCAAAGCGTACAGATGGGACTAACGAGCAAATTTCCTCATTGGAAAGTGGTGGCACAGAGTTCCCCACGTCGTATGGATACGATAGTAAAACACGACGTACGGATAGGGTTAAACCTTCAGTGATCCTTGTTGTGTTTTTTTCCCTTCAATGTTAGGGAACGCCTTGACTTCTACGACCAATTTTCAACCGTTTCCGATAAGATACGGGCTTTTTTGTATTGTGGAGTAAAGTCGAGCAGAAAACGTGGGTCTATCTCATCCAGGACGTAGCTAGTTGTTTGGGAGATTGACTAAAATGATCATGTTTTAGTGATCGCTCGACACAGTTGGTGTGTGTGTGTGTGTGTGTGTGTGTGTGTGTGTGTGTGTGTGTGTGTGTGTGTAT